GTGAAGATCAGGGAGATTCCCCAGACAGGGGAAGAGGCTCCGTTTGGGTTTCGGGGTGGGCCAGGCAGCAGGATGTGGCAGGGCCACCCAGGTCACGGCTGCAGCAGGGACCCCGCGTCCTGTTCAGCAGCCAGAGGCAATGTAGACAACAACGGTACTGCAGTGACGAGTGTGGACTGAAGATGGGAGGGCCCCCGCGGAACGTTCGAGACTGAGAACTATCACCTGCCCCCGGCCCAGGACACTTCACGCCACTCAGGAGCAGGGGTCCCACCACGTGTCCAAGGATGAATTTCTTGCCGTCAAGTGAGATTTCACTGGATTAGAAATCAGAATAATAAGGACCTGCTATTCCTGACAGCGAGTTGTGGAGTGCATGTCCACCGCCAGCTAATGAGATGGGCACCACGGTAATTCCGTTTTACAAATGAGGGTGCTGCGGACCCCCGGAAACCCTGAGCTTCACAGAATGATTCTCTGCAGCAGTCAGCCAGCCTCCTCCCACCTGCGGCCCCAATGAAGCTCAGGTGGAATCCAGTTCCATAAAGTAAACAGATTCCAAAAAGTTCAGTCTCTCTCTGCCACACCCAGAAAGAGCCCGCCAGGCCTGGAAAGTCCCCGGGGGGTGGGGGGTGGCCCCTCCCCAGAGCCCAGTGTCCCAATCGTGTGGCCCCCTCCAGGCTTCTAGGTTTTGCCCTCCTGACTGCAGGTCAGGGAGAGTCGGGCTGAACTGAGAGGCACAGAAGACCCAAGACCTGACCTGAGCATGTGCCTGGAAACACCAGCCAGTGTGAGCGTGGGCACGGGCCCAGGGCACAGAGGCTGTGACTGGGCTGGCAGAGTCACCCTTTCAGAAGCAGATCCCATCCTTCCTCGTTGCCCTGGTGACTGCACCCTTCGGCTGGTGCGAGGCTCTTTTACGGCACATCACTGGCAAGGACGCCAGCCAGCTGGGAGGGAGCTGGAACCGCAGCTACGATACGATTCCTTCTGTGAAGGAGCCGACGACAGCAACAGTAGGAACCTCTGCAGGGAGCAACAGGGGCCGGGATAGCTGGGGGAATGGGCTAGTCAGGGCTTCCCTCAACACGGCCAGACCTGGCGGGCACTGTGCTGGGCATTGTGCTGGGCACTGTGCTGAGTACAGTTCTGGGTACTGTACTGGGTACAGGTCAGGGCACTGTGCTGGGTACAGGTCAGGGCACTGTGCTGGGTACAGGTCTGGGCACTGACTCCAGGATGAACAAACATGGCCAGGTGTTCGCAGGCTGTGGGGGGGTCAGCAGACAAGAGCACCGATGACTGCAGAAGAGCCACAAGGCCACAGAGTATTGTAGGAGCTCCAAGGAGGGATGTGGGGAAACCCAAGAAGGCTTCCTGAGTAGGCAGACTGGCCCCGAGCCTCGGTGATGGGCAGGTTTGAGAGGAGGTGTGAACAAAGGCGAGGCTCAGCGTACTTAGGGACAGTGAGTCAGCTTCCAGGAAACGCTGCCAGTCCCCTGACCACGAGGGGCTGGAAGCCAGTTAGGAGGCAGCCCAGCTGCGGCCGGGCCCCGTGTGCGGGGCCAAGGAGGCTGGGAAGCAGAGGACCAAGAGCTGAGACGCTGCACTCAGGAGAGCAGCTCCCAAGGCCCCGGGCATGGGCAGGACAGCGGGCACGCCCGTATCCCTGCATCAAAGCCACAGGCAACCCCCTCCGCTGGGCCAGCTCTGCCAGCGGTGCCTGCGCTGTGCCAAGCACGCCAGTAAATTCTTCTCCGAGATCCTCCCTCCTTCTTGCAAGGCGGCAACTCTCTCCTTCCCCGGAGCCGGCTGAAGCTCTGGAGGCCAGGAAGCTCCTCCAAAGTGCCAGGGCCATAGCGGGGAATTGACCAAACCCAGGCCTGTGGCCCAGACCCGAGCGCTCAGCCTCTGTGAGTCCTGCTTCCCAGGGGCAGCGCCCTCTCCAGTCTCCCTTCACAGACACTTCCACCTACATGAGGGTCCTTGAGCCTCGGCATAGGAGGGGTGAGGGGGTCCTTCCCCCGTTTTACTGATGAAAATGAGGTCTTGAGAGGGCGTGGATGGAAACTCATCTCCCGGTCACCCAGCAAGCAGGCATTTGGGATGTGAGCCACCGAGCTGGTGGAGAGACCACAAGGGAGACGCCAGACCCCAGGGTGAGTCCCCAAAAGGCACCAGCCCCTCCCTTACACCAGACAGGAGTGAAATTTTTCTAATTGTGAAATCGGTTTGAAATGTGAAAGCACATAGAAAACAAACGTGCCTGAGCCCCGTGGGAGAGCACAGCGGTGGAGCACCCAGGCCATGAGTCCCCTCTCTGAGGCTCCAGGTCAAGTTCCTGAGGGTTCACCTGTTGGATGTGCTCCCTCCGGCTTCCAGGGCCCACTCCCCCTGGCCTCATCAATGGCTCTTCCTAAGGACCACCCTTGCCTTCGCTTAAACCAGACCCACCAGCCAAGGGTAAAGACCTGCCAGCAAAGGGTGCAAGTTCCAAAGGGATTCGAGCCCTGAGACAGCAAAGACACGAGCAGGGTGGAGGTGTTGCCAGGCAGAGAATGCCAGGAGCTGTGGCTGGGATGGGTCGGCAGAGACTCAAGGACAAGGCAGTGTTTCATTTCAGTCACACCCCCAGACCGAAACAAAAGGGCATTCCAAGTAGAGGCAATGGCACTGACAAAGGCCTAGTGATAGAAAATCTAGGCAGGTTCTGCCAATAGGAAGAATATGCACTGGGAAGGTGGGATTACAGGGGTGGGGCTGGGGAATGAGCCTGGAACACAGGGCTGTGCAGATAGTGAATGCCTTCTGATGCCAGGTGAAGTTTGGCATTCCTTTGCTGGGCAATAGGGAGTCATGCAAACTTTTAGATGAGAATGACATCGTGAGGTCCACACTACAGATGAGCCTCAATACATGCTTGTGGGCCACCTGGACTATGTGCAGACCTGTGTCCCGTTACCCTGTGAACCCGAAAGCAGGGTTCATCTACCTCCACTGCCCAGGTCCCCTCACGGGGATGGCCAGGGGCCTTCTGAACTCAGCCTGGGATTCAAGCCTTAAGCAGATCGATTACTTGAATTTTGGCCCGTCACTGTGTCTAGGAATGCATTTCACTGTTGAAAAGCGGGGACAATAAGACCACACTCATAGGGCTTCTGTGAAAGGAAACATGAAAGCCAATAGTGCAGCCCTGAGCACACAATGGGTGTGGAATGAATGCCAGTCCCCTCTCCCAGGGACCTGGGTGGAATAATCTTTTGATCGATAATGACGCTACGTGTCTGACAAGGGAACGGGCTTTGGGCTGCCAACTCCTTTCTACCTCCAGGCTTGCCCAGCCCCTTCAATGCCCAACCTTCCACATTTCCAGCCCATGACCCCTCTGTTGCAGAAGAGAGTTCCAAGCTCTTCGGCTCAGTTCTCCAGGCTGTCACCCTCTGACCCCCGCCCGCCTCTCTGGCCAGGTCAGCATAGTTCCATATGCACTGAGCCCTGCTTTGTGCCAGGCGGAGGGTAAAGCTGGATCCCAGCCCTGGAGGAGCCAAAGGAGTCACTCCTCACTGGGCACATCCCCTCCCCATTCCCCTGAAGGCCAACCTGGGACCTCCCAGGCCTGGGAGGGAAGCGGGGAGACAGGCCTGGGCCAACTGGGCCGAGGACCTACCTACCTGGCTGCACGGTGGCCCTACCAGGACAGGAGGGCCAGTAGGGGCTCTAGACCCTTACTATGAAAGTGGTCCAAGGGCTGGAATCAATGGTATAACCTGGAGAGTGTCAGAAATGCCACATCTCGGGCCTATCCTGACCTTCAGGATTAGAATCTGCACTTAGCCCAAAAATCCCTGGGAGATTAAAGACACGGGAGTTTGAGAAACACTGGTCCAGTCCACCCCTGCCATTTAACAGTCCAGAAACCCGAGGCCTGAGCGGGAGAGACCCGACTCAGGCCACAGGGCACTGAGGCCATGGCCTCTGCATACCTCGGTCTCCCGAAGCCTGGCCTCCAGGGCGGCACGGGGCCCCTGGGTGTTGTCGTTGATCTGCAGCTGATCCTGCACGGCCTTCATCCACTCCCAGGCGTCCTCCACGCTCCTGTCGAAGCCCTCCTGGGGCTGCTGAGTCATGGCACCTGCAGGGGCTGAAGGCAGGGCACGTGAGATCAGGCGGGTGGGAGAGAATGCAGGGGGGCCCCAGGGGCAGGTTGATGGGGGGCCAGGAGGTGCGGACTGGACTGACACTGCGGACAGGTCCCTCCTCCGCCTCTGTGCTCAGACTGGGCGACACAGTCAGGGGTGATCGTGTTTGCCAAAGAGCACTGAGGACCCGCTTTAGGCTGCGCCCGCCCGCTGGTAGGTCTCCCGCCTAAACCAGCCCCTCCGCTGCGCTGCCCACCCCTCCTTACCCTTACCAGAGTCTCAGATTTTCTCCCGTAACGTTCTCAAAACCCCTTTAAGCACAGGCAAAACTCTTCTGTACGCCAGGCCTTGCTGTCTGTTCATGGGAACACTAAGCTACTTTGGATTAGAGTTATTTATATCTGCATCTTGCGTGAAAGACTGTGTCTAGCTCACCCTCCAGTTTCCCGCAACGCTTTGCACAGAGCAAGNCATGGCCAGGTGTTCGCAGGCTGTGGGGGGGTCAGCAGACAAGAGCACCGATGACTGCAGAAGAGCCACAAGGCCACAGAGTATTGTAGGAGCTCCAAGGAGGGATGTGGGGAAACCCAAGAAGGCTTCCTGAGTAGGCAGACTGGCCCCGAGCCTCGGTGATGGGCAGGTTTGAGAGGAGGTGTGAACAAAGGCGAGGCTCAGCGTACTTAGGGACAGTGAGTCAGCTTCCAGGAAACGCTGCCAGTCCCCTGACCACGAGGGGCTGGAAGCCAGTTAGGAGGCAGCCCAGCTGCGGCCGGGCCCCGTGTGCGGGGCCAAGGAGGCTGGGAAGCAGAGGACCAAGAGCTGAGACGCTGCACTCAGGAGAGCAGCTCCCAAGGCCCCGGGCATGGGCAGGACAGCGGGCACGCCCGTATCCCTGCATCAAAGCCACAGGCAACCCCCTCCGCTGGGCCAGCTCTGCCAGCGGTGCCTGCGCTGTGCCAAGCACGCCAGTAAATTCTTCTCCGAGATCCTCCCTCCTTCTTGCAAGGCGGCAACTCTCTCCTTCCCCGGAGCCGGCTGAAGCTCTGGAGGCCAGGAAGCTCCTCCAAAGTGCCAGGGCCATAGCGGGGAATTGACCAAACCCAGGCCTGTGGCCCAGACCCGAGCGCTCAGCCTCTGTGAGTCCTGCTTCCCAGGGGCAGCGCCCTCTCCAGTCTCCCTTCACAGACACTTCCACCTACATGAGGGTCCTTGAGCCTCGGCATAGGAGGGGTGAGGGGGTCCTTCCCCCGTTTTACTGATGAAAATGAGGTCTTGAGAGGGCGTGGATGGAAACTCATCTCCCGGTCACCCAGCAAGCAGGCATTTGGGATGTGAGCCACCGAGCTGGTGGAGAGACCACAAGGGAGACGCCAGACCCCAGGGTGAGTCCCCAAAAGGCACCAGCCCCTCCCTTACACCAGACAGGAGTGAAATTTTTCTAATTGTGAAATCGGTTTGAAATGTGAAAGCACATAGAAAACAAACGTGCCTGAGCCCCGTGGGAGAGCACAGCGGTGGAGCACCCAGGCCATGAGTCCCCTCTCTGAGGCTCCAGGTCAAGTTCCTGAGGGTTCACCTGTTGGATGTGCTCCCTCCGGCTTCCAGGGCCCACTCCCCCTGGCCTCATCAATGGCTCTTCCTAAGGACCACCCTTGCCTTCGCTTAAACCAGACCCACCAGCCAAGGGTAAAGACCTGCCAGCAAAGGGTGCAAGTTCCAAAGGGATTCGAGCCCTGAGACAGCAAAGACACGAGCAGGGTGGAGGTGTTGCCAGGCAGAGAATGCCAGGAGCTGTGGCTGGGATGGGTC